GTCCCAAAAATAAATAAACGTTGAAAAAAAAAAAATTTAAATAGGGGCGCCTGGGCGGCTCAGTTGGTTGTAAGACCAGCTCTTGATTTCAGCTCAGATCATGGTCTCACGGTTCGTGGGGTCAAGCCCTGCATCGGGCTCTGTGCTGACAGCATGGAGCCTGCTCGGGACTCTCTCCCTCTATCTCTCTGCCCCTCCCTTGGTCATGCACATGAGGGCGTGTGCGCGCACACCGTCTCTCTCTCTCTCTCTCTTTCTCAATGCTCCTCCCCCGCTCCCGCTCTTTCAAAATAAATGAACATTTTTTAAAAAAAGTTCTTTAAGCCTCTTTATTCAGTGGCTTTCATAACATTGACTGTTGGATATTTACAAAACAGTAACATCCCAAGAGTGATAAAGTACAACCGAAGTATTATGAAAGCAAAGACCTTAATTATACCGTAAAATGCTTTTAAAAGAGTTCAGTGTGCATTATAGCTACTGAAACTATGTTCTATGGATTCTACAGAATACTGGTTAAATATTATAGATGATGTACTTGAATTTCTTTTAATAGCAAGCTTGTTCTGCAGATGACGTGGGCTTTGGAATTTGGGGATTACTGGTATTTATTTTTTTGCTTCTTTTGTATTTAAAATAGATGTTTGTATCCGAAAGCAAGGAGACAGCGTCTGGAGACGTAGACAGCTTCTACAACTTTGCTGACATACAAATGGGAATATGAAGTGCAACATGGAACCAAGGACTTGATATTAAGCCCTTTTTAAATTGTGTGTTAGCGGTTTTTACTAATGTTAAAACTGTCAAAGCGTATTTTTAAATAAACTGTTGAATACTGCATTATTTACTTCAGGTTCGAAAACAGTTCGTTTTGGGGGCGCCTGGCTGGCTCAGTCGGTAGAGCGTGGGGGTCTTGATCTCAGGGTCGTGAGTTCAAACCCCGCTCTGGGCGTGGAGCCTACTAAAAATAACAACAACAACAACAAGTTCATTTTAAGTTAAGTAGTTTTCATCAGCTTAAAAACTACTTGGCCCACTTCAATAAGCTTGCAGTTTTGTTTCTCTGCTGAGGATACTGTCATTAGGACATAGAAGTGGCTAGCAGTTCATCATTTTAATCCTAATTAGATATTCTTTCAAATCCCTAAGAATTTAAACTTTCCTCAGTGCTCCATACTATCGTTTGAGAATACATTCCATTGCTTCTTTTCTTCTTTAATTTAGAGAGATTTGTTACTAGCTGATCGATTAGAATGAACCTCTGCACATTTATTTTCACGTATTCATATTCGGTTAAATAATTGCTTCCTAGTTGCATAATACGGCAAATGAGATTTTTGTACGCGGAATTGAGATAATGCTTTGTAAATTGAATTTTTTTTAACAAATAGGTATTTGATGACCAGTTTTGCAATTAACTCTACTAACTGATGTTGGTATAGCTGTTTAAAGACTACTTCGTGAGTAGTATGATTATCTGAATAAATTCCACGCCGTGTCGTTTTTTTACTACAACTGCTAGATACCCTCTTCTGCTTCTTGGTGAGAAAAGGTATATGCAACACTAAAAGCACAGGAACCCCGTCACCGGCAGTTTTCAGAAAGGCGAAATCACCTGCTTGTGTGGGTTATCAGAAGGATGAGAACGAAACCTTGTGACATTCAGGTACGAAATGCTTAGTCACGATGAAAAGCTATGCAGGTTATTAAAAAACTAGACCAATTTGGTGGCCAGTAGATACACCGCTCACCAAGTTCTGTTCACGTATGACGAAATTCCTTCGACTGCTTTAAAGCACTGTTTTCCAAATCAACCTGACCGTAATAATTTCCCAGGAGGTAGGGGAGAGCTGCGGGTTTAAAAACCCACGTTCCTGGGCCCAGTCCCCAGATACACCGATTTAGTCTCCGGGGGAAACCTGGCGGTGAGGAGTTTGCCGTAATCTGAAGTGATCAGTTCAGAAGATGTTGATGGGGTGACCTGAAGAGAAGGGGCTGAGTCTGCCAAGCACACCACATTTATTTAGCAGCTAATAGGAAATTAGCTTCCATAGCTCTATTTTTAAAAGGAACCTTAAATTTAAATCTATTTTGGTAAACCAAGACTGAACATAGCCACTTATTAAAAATGCCTCTTATGATTGTTACTAAAAATGTACTTTCGTGTGTTAACTGCTTTTGGATACTTGCAGATTAATTTATAACTACTACATTGAACTGTGTGTGGATGTTCAGAAATAACGCAAAGACTTTTCACTTTAATAATATTGAGGGGCGCCTGGGTGGCTCAGTCAGTTGAGCGACCGACTTCGGCTCGGGTCACGATCTCCCGGTTTGTGAGTTCGAGCCCCGCGTCGGGCTCTGTGCTGACGGCTAGGAGTCCGGAGCCTGCTTCGGATTCTGTGTCTCCCTCGCTCTCTGCCCCTCCCCCACTCATGCTCTGTCTCTCTCTGTCTCAGAAATAACTAAACATTAACAAATTTTTTTTAATTAATAATATTGACCACCTCCCCTATGTCTGGCCTTGTGGTAGCCATAGCATTGTGTCATTTTGGTCTTTTGTAAGAGCATTCTATACTACCTACTCAACCTCTCCTTAAATCCGAATGATTTCATAAGATGCAAATAAGAATTGGTGACGGGTTTAACATCATTTCGCTCATAATTCACAAATAAGCTTTGCAATTAGTGGTCAGAGGGCATTAACTTTTCCCGTAGTTAGGCCAAATTAATTGTATTCCTTCTGATCATTAATTAAATGGCGAGCATTATTCAACCCCATTACTCACACTTTAAAATGATTGCAGTACTTTTTGTTTTTCAAAAATATAATCCAGAAAGATTCTTTTGTAGTCCATAAGCATGATGATTAGGTATTCATGCCGCTGTGTGACATGTGCCTCCCTCCAATCCTGCTATGACCTCGGCACATTACCCATGTGACGTGAAAAAAAAAAAATCACACAATGTTACGCAAAGCTGTAAGCTGAGTTCTTTATTTTATCTATGGCATTTTGGCAAAAAAAAAAAAAAAAAAAAACAAACCCTCAGGAATATAACATGTAAGGGAGATGTGAATTTTAAAATATCCACTAAATTTAGGATCTATTAACCAAAGCCTAAAATTTTATATTCTTCAGTTGGATGAGAGCTTTTACCTAAGTAAGCTTCATTTGCCTTTAAGGACAGTCATTTGACTTCTGAATGTTTGAAAAGGTTTTTAAAAATAAGTCGTGCTATGGTTGTTCTTTCTATAATTCTAAACTCTGATAGTAATTATCCTACATTTAATTTGTGAATAGGTTTTGAATTCATGAACATTTATTAGCAATGGAAAATTAGTAATTTTATTAAGTTATACATGTTTAAACGTTATATTAGCTCATTTCTCTTGTGTGATCAGTACTGCTGTTTTGGCTTCTGTATATTTCTACCTAGCTTTTGTATGTAATTTATGCCTAGTGTTTATAAAATGTGATTTGTAATAAATGTTGTTAAAATGAAAATGGCCTGCCTGGCTCAGTCGGTAGAGTGTGCAACTCTTGATCTCAGGGTCGTGAGTACAAGCCCCACGTTCGGGGGGTAGCGTTTACTTTTTTAAAAAATTTTTAAATGAAAATGCCTTAACACTAATTTTTCAAGTGCACTTCTAAAACATACATTTACTTGTATGTGTGCCAAGATGTGACCGTGGCACAGATTTTTTAATGATAAAGGTAAAATAGACTGGTCTAATCTCTGTCTTATGCTAATGAGAAACAAGCTGTGTGCCGTGTGTGTGTGTGTGTGTGTGTGTGTGTGTGTGTGTGTACACAAAGCACTCTAGAGAAATGCAAAGGAAGCAGAAAACTCGTTTTAATCTCAGGAATTCCCAATATAATGTTTCCTTTGTTAAAAGATACATTTTCTTATGATTCAATATCTACTAAGATTAGGCATTTCTCTCTTTCATATTTAAGAAAATAATGAATTGTTTGTGATATAATTTCTTTCAGGTTTATACAAATGGACCTTATTTTTAAATTACTACCAGATTGGGGTGCCTGGGTGGTTCAGTCGGTTAAGCATCCGACTTTGGCTCAGGTCATGACCTCATGGCTCGTGAGTTCGAGCCCCGCGTCAGGCTCTGTGCTGATGCC